TCATCCTGCTGAACAGGTGAAATTTGAATAATCAGTGATTAGTACGCATTTTAATAAAAAAAACACGAGTGCCTGGAAGATTAAATTCCAGAGATTAAGATTAAGACTGTATCTGATAAACTGACACATAAACAGACATATTCTGTCTTTACCTCTTGCTGGACACTGATTTTGGCGCTAAAGGCAGCTGTGTGTATGTGTGAACTGTGTGTGTCCATTTCGGAGCACCAGGTGTAAAGTGATTCGACATAAACGAAAGCCTTGATTTGTGGAGCTAAATTTTCTTCTCTCTGGATTGTGGCTTAATTAAATCCTATCAGATTCAAAAAGAGGCAAGCTGGCACATTCAACAAAGAAAGTGTAAAATGGGAATGAACAATTACGGTCCTTTTTTATGTACATTTAATGAGGCATTTTATTTTCTGTTTTTTCTGTTTCTTTTGCAATTTTTGCAATCCCATTACCAAAATTCTGGACGTGCCAGACAGGTTAAACCATCAACAGGTTTGAATGGTTACATGAATGCAGTAAACGCTGCGATTTGTGTAAAAAAAAAAGATTTTTTTTTTTTTTGAAAATAGTATGGAATTTGAACTTCTTTTGATGAATTTTGAAATAAAATATTTTGAAGAATATGGGAATTCAAATAATTTCTGGTCCCCATTGACTTGCATAGTATTTTTTGCCATATTATGGAAGTCAATGGGGACCAACAGCTGTTTGGTTACCAAGGTTTGGAACAACATGCGGGGGGATTAATTTTTATTTTTGGGTGAACTGTCCATTTAAGAGAATGTTGGTAATTTCAATCCTATGTTAATTGTTTTAAAGTAACATAATTTGTACCTTGTTTGTTGAAAGTACCAGCTGCTCTTTTAGACAACACAATGAGTCCATCTTCGTTAGCTGTATAACTTTAGCTGACTGATCTAAGACCGTGGCATTGTGCTGGAAGTGAGTTTACTCGAGATACTTTACACCTAATGATCCAGGATAACAACCAGCCTCGATTAAACCCACGAAACCTCACATATTAGCACCGAGAGAGTTACTTACTCACTACAACAAACGCCAGTGTACTAATGCATGCCACACCTCTCACCTTCAGGGAAAAGTGTACAGGGAGATGCTAACACACACACACAACCGTAAGCCTCTGTGAGTCGGGGATCTCACGTCTTTGACACACGATACCAGCAAGCTGAATTTGATCTCCACTTCACTGTGTCATTTTTGCCTGGAATCCCAGAATGCCGAATCTTAACGGTAATCCCTTCCGCCACGCTCTCGCGACAGACTAACGCTAAGCCCGTTACGTTCCCGAGGAATTAGGCGAAGAAAGCATTCTCTGGGACAGAAACTGCCATTCAGGTCAACGTTTTGTATGATTTTACAGGCACTTCATACATGAGCCCTCATGGCAGCAGTACCTCTGTCCCTTTAAACACGGGACACGTCTTTTCCTAAGTGACAAGCAAAGGCATTAATATTTAATGCTGTGTATCCATGCTTTTTTCACCTTGTCAAGTGAGGCATGCTGTAAATGCCAGAACCAGCTAAATTTAATTCCAAGCAATGGCTTAAATTATCAGTCTCAAAGATCCCCCCCCCCCTTTTGTGGAAGCTTCTCTTCCAACTGTGGTATTCTGCTATAATCCACATTATCGCAAGAATAAAGGATAAAAGGATTATTTTCAAACAGCCACTACTCCCTAATCGCCCAAATATTTTTGAATCTTCCTTTCCTTTTAGATGAACATAATTTATGCCTTATTTGTAAATCCTATTGCCCTTATGGGCACTTGATTGGGCCGTGTGTTTCCTGAAGTTCTCCAAGGACAGAGCTACGTTTGCCTGACAAGCACTTCGTTGTGTTGGTTAGAGATGATTCTTTATCAAGTGTTGCTGTTTGTCAGTATTAATAAGAACTTCATGGATGGGGTCTATGGTTCCTCCTAGCGATGTGTTGTCAACTGAAGTATTGAATTGTGCCGCCGTGAAGCCGACAGACAGATGAATGTCACTGGAACGTAAGACCGTGGCCGGATGGAAACATTGTGGGGAGGAAAGCTACGTTCACATCGCAGTTGCATGCGTCCCAAACCTGATTTGAAGTCACACCTAATGTATTAATATTGCTGTATTAGAGTAAAAAAAGGCAAGTCTGTTTGTGTGTGTGTGTGTGTATATACATATATATATATATATATATGTATATTAGTGCTGTCAAATGATTAATCTCATCCAAAAAAAATTTTTTTTAATGTATTACGTGTGTGTACGGTGTATTTTTATGTATATATAAATACACACAGTATATATTTTGGAAATATTTACATACGTGTAAACATTTATATTCTATAAATATATTTAATATACAAATATAACATTTTTCAGATATATATACATGCATGTGTTTGTATATATATACATAATAAATACACACAGTACACTCACATATATTATGTAAACAAAAACTTTTAAAGACATTCAGACATTTCTCTTTTTTGAATGTGACTTAGGTGTCCAAATACATTTGGATGCTGTGACTTGCATTGAACAGTCATAACAGAAGGTGTGAAAATGTGTGGATTTATGATTGGAAGTGCAACATTTCATATATACTTCTGTTCAAACATTTGGGGTCAGAAAGTCAAAAATACAGTAAAAAGTTAATCTTGTGAAATGATTACAATTTAATAATATATTTGAGAGCTGTTAAATTTAATTTGAAATGTAATTTATTCCTGTGATCAAACCTGAATTTTCAGCATCATTACTCCAGTCTTCAGTGTCACATGATCCTTCAGAAATCA